TGTCTATGTAACTACTCCTATATAAATATAATAGTACTGTCTGTTGTATGTCCATGTAACTACCTCTATATAAATATAATAGTACTGTCTGTTGTATGTCTATGTAACTACTTCTATATAAATATAATATTACTGTCTGTTGTATGTCTATGTAACTACTTCTATATAAATATAATATTACTGTCTGTTGTATGTCTATGTAACTACTTCTATATAAATATAACATTAGTGTCTGTTATATGTCCATGTAATTACTTCTATATAAATATAACGTTACTGCCTGTCGTATGTCCGTGTAACTACTTCTATATAAATATAATATTACTGTCTGTTATATGTCCATGTAATTACTTCTATATAAATATAACATTACCGCCTGTCGTATGTCCGTGTAACTACTTCTATATAAATATAATATTACTGGTTGTTGTATGTCCATGTAACTATTTCTATATTAATATAAAATTATTGCCTGTCGTATGTCCGTGTAACTAGTTCTATATAAATATAGCATTACTGTTTGTTGTATGTCCATGTAACTACTTCTATATAAATATAAAATTACCGCCTGTCGTATGTGCACGTAATTACTTCTATACAAATATAACATTACTGTGTTATATGTCCATGTAATTACTTCTATATAAATATAACATTACCGCCTGTCGTATGTCCGTGTAACTACTTCTATATAAATATAATATTACTGTTTGTTGTATGTCCATGTAACTATTTCTATATAAATATAAAATTATTGCCTGTCGTATGTCCGTGTAACTAGTTCTATATAAATATAACATTACCGTCTGTTGTATGTTCATGTAACTACTTCTATATAAATATAACATTACTGTCTGTTATATGTCCATGTAACTACTTCTATATAAATATAACATTACTGTCTGTTGTATGTTCATGTAACTACTTCTATATAAATATAACATTACTGTCTGTTGTATGTTCATGTAACTACTTCTATATAAATATAACATTACCGTCAGTTGTATGTGCACGTAACTACTTCGCAGGGTGCGGATGGATGTTCACTAAAATTGATGTGAAGGTTCACTGAGTCCATGTAAAGATCCATACAATTTTCCAGTTTTGTAATTTGCGTTTTGTGTTTTTTTATAGCCGTTTGTGTATTTTTACCGTTACTTCGCCCCCCTGTTGATGCATCTTCACCAAATTTGGCGTTAAGGTATGTTGGGTCCATGCAAAGTTGCGGTTTCACATTTTCTGTTTTGCAGTTTTTATGGGCGTTTTTTTTTTTTTCTACTAATTACATATAAAGAAAGCAACTTTTCATGTCCTAAGATAACCTTTCATTAATCACGAATTTACATAACTTCCGTCCAGAGTACGGGTACTCCTGAAAGTTTAACATGAGTAAATTCTTTACATTTTTAAGCAGTTACTAAAATCACTAACCTAGTCTATTTCGTATTGCTCTATCTTCACCCGATCTCTGGACCAGGGCAGCACAGTGCTGGAATATGGATACGTGGCTCGCGCCTCGTCACCACCAAAACAGATAATAAAAAATTGAGGTGAATTTTAGCCCGTGGGTGCGTTATAAGAGTGGCAGTCAAATCCCATTATTCTATCAGACTATCACACGAGTCTTGTTTGTTTGTTTGTAATTAAGCACAGAGCTACACAATGTGCTATGCCCACTAGGGATATCGAAACCCGGTTGTAAGTCCGCAGACATGCCGCTGTGCCACACGAGTCGGTTGTGGGTTTTGTTAACTATCTGCCTTCTCTCTAGTTTATCAGTTCAAAATTAAGGAAACCAGATATTCCTCAAACAGCACTAGGACTCGATCATGGGATTGTACAACTCGAAACGCACGCAGTTCATTGCTAACAAAGCACGTGGGCTAAAGGATAAGAAAGTAGAGAATATGATTATATACGCAAAATTGGGGCACACACACACACAATTTTGTTACGTATATCTCACGATGGTTTGGTATAGGTTTTTAATATGTTGGTACTGAAGTACGAAATTGTTCTGGCCGAAATTTCTGATGTTGTGAAAATGTTCATTCCAAGTCGCGATTTTGATCAAAATTTTGTCCATTGACTTTAGTCCTAACAGATTATACAAATACATGTGGTATACTAAGCATGTAGCACAAGTTGTTAAAAAAGTACTTATCTAGCGATTTCTTAACTGCTTAAACCTCTAATTCAGTTAGTAGAACACTCGCTTGGCGTGCAAGAATTTTGGGTTCGATCCCATTCACAAGTTAGGCAAAAATGGGATCACCACCCTTTCTTCATTGCGATGCACAGAGAATTTAATGTTAATCTTTTCAGCTGGGTTTACAACTTTAGCTTTCTTTCAGGTCCGGATGAATTGTGGTGTATAAAATATGGTCTTCAGATGCGTTCGGTCAAACAAACTATAGATTCTAAACAAAACGTGTGTAGATTTCTTGCTGGTGGTAAAAATGTAAAATGGTACTTGGAACAGAAGACGGATAGTGATTTTTTTTAAACTCCCACCTACATTTCAGAGCTATTCGTAGAATAAGAAAAAAAATCTGTTGCCGAGGTAACTATCGAATTGTTAGGAAAATGGTGATTTTGTGTGTTCAACGGAGTGTGAATGAATTGAAAACTGAGTACACAGACAGAATCCTTAACCATTTAAATATAATAAACAAATTACAGCTTCATAGAAATAAAAAACATAAAACAGCTATTTTTGTAGAGGCTAAGAAAGAAAAAGAAAAATCTGATAAATAAAATTATGAAACGGTGGCGATTAAATGGTTGATATATCAGCATTATAAGTCACAAAACATATGATATTAGTATTATAAGTCACAAAATATATGATATTAGTATTATAAGTCACAAAATATACGATATTAGTATTATAAGTCACAAAACATATGATATTAGTATTATAAGTCACAAAATATATGATATTAGTATTATAAGTCACAAAATATATGATATTAGTATTATAAGTCACAAAATATATGATATTAGTATTATAAGTCACAAAACATATGATATTAGTATTATAAGTCACAAAATATATGATATTAGTATTATAAGTCACAAAATATATGATATTAGTATTATAAGTCACAAGATATATGTCATCGTCATTATAAGTAAAAATATTTTACATCGGTATTACAAGTAAAAATATTTTATATCGGTATTACAAGTAAAAATATTTGACATCAATATTATTAGTCACAGAATACATGATATTAGTATTATAAGTCACAGAATATCTGATATTAGTATTATAAGCTGTAGAATATTTGATATTAGTATTATTAGTCACAGTATATATGACATTGGTGACAAAACTCACAATATTCTTATACTGACAACCATTACTATAAAACTGTATTACAGTAAACGTAGTGTCCTGAGGAGATTACAACTTCACAGAAAAACAAGTAATAAGTATATATATACATATACAAACAAGAAATTACACTACATAAAAAGCTGACATTCTGGAAGTATTAGTCACATGATAACTACATAATATCAATATTGAACGATACCCTTGAAGAAAGGTTTGTTTGTTTCTTTGGATTTGAACTTCACGGAAAGCTACTCAAGGATTATCTGTGCTAGCTGTCCCCAATTTTGGAAAGATGGGCTATGGTGAAGGTAGCTAGTCAACACCACCCACCGCCAACTCTTGGGCTACTCTAATCAACTAGTGATATTGACCACAACATTTTATCGTCCCCACGACTGAAAATGTAAGAATGTTTGGTGACGGGATTCAAACCCGCGACCTTACCATCAGCCCATGCCAGACTACCTAAATAACAGCTGATTCTGTTTACCTCAAAAGCAAGAATTAAAGTACAGTTAAATCTCAAGTTTCCGAAATAACGGTTCCATTAATACTTAAGAGAAACGTAAAGGCTTAAGTTTAAGAAAAATGTTGAAACGTATTAAAAATAATGTACCCATTGTTCTCTGAAAGACACATCTTCTTCCAAGTAAAATGACATGCTAATTCATTCAGCACAAATGTCAATTTTCATTTAAAAAAAGTAAAAATGTCACATGTCTCACGCAATAGACAGCTTTCACTTCTTTTCTATAAGGCCCGATTTTTCTGAGTATTTTGCGTACGCTACACAAAAATTTACTGTATCACTGTTACCATAGTAACCCTGTATACGTGTACCATTAAAAGTTCAAGTTTAAAGATTCAACAAGTATTTCGAAAGTCTTAGTCAAAAGATTAACTTTGATTTAAAATATTATTTTTCAGGATCCTCTCGCATGTATGGAGTACTAATACAAAAAGATTTGTTGGTAAGTCTAAACTTTAAAACACCACAAACCTACCTGGCATTTACTCTCAGAGTACCCAGGTGTATCGGCGTTAGGTTCCGACCCTCCTATGCTACCCCCCGGGTCTCATATGTGTTCCCCCTGCGTTAAAAGGACACGCTAACAAGGTTTGGTTTGTTTTGAATTTCGCGCAAAAGCTACACGAGGGCTATCTGCGCTAGCCATCCCTAATTT